AAAGATTATTATTGATGTTTTGGAGGATTCAAAGGAACACAGGAAGACAAGCACAGGGGTGGCCTAAGTGATTTGGGGGTCTCCTGCAAAATTCCAGAATTGGCTCCTATACTGCCTCGAGTTAGCTAGAAAACAAAAAAGTATTATTTGTGTCCGTATTTCACTTTTAAACACCACTAAGGTAGTTCCATTTCACATTTTATAAAATCTTCCTCACACGCTGTTATCATACTGTACAGGTACTTTACTTTATCCTCTTCGCTTGGGTGGTCGGTCACGTCTCTGTTACCCGCTGTTGGTAAGTATTGTGCTGAGCATGTACTAGTTCCAGTATGTATCTGTTCCCGCAATAGTTTTTGTCAAGTCTGGTCTTGAATGAGCTCACACTTGATACCGTCACAACACACTGGCAGATTGTTCCAAGCGTTCACAGCCCTCATTGTTATGACCCTTGGCCTCTTAGGTTGTAACAATGCACAAATTCAACTTCTCTTTGTTTTATAGGTCCAAGGAATAGATCCCACCAAATTCATCACCTTATTACTATGGGGTATATTGAAATTCATGAAGTAGATTTAATTACAAAATTTATATTAACAAACAAACAATAAAACAAATATTTCAGTTATGTACAAAAATAAACAAATACAAACTAAATCTGATCAAATAAGTGACTCAACCGAGTGACAAAATAATGAACATAAAAGTAAAGACTAAATACTTATTTAAATTAGCAACTACCATGAACAGCGTGGTTATCCACCACACGTACCTCATAAATAAGTAAGTTATATTCCGTGGAATTCTAAAATATGACGAACAACAATCTCACATAATACTTGGTGTTCTAAAAGTCGAGCAAGGTTCACACGTTATACCACTAGAAATATACTGTACAATAAGAAAGGAGATACTTAACTTATGACTGCCAGCTCAATACTGCCATCACCCGGCTCCTTGGAGGTAAAACTAAGCGAGCAGAGGAGAGCGGAAATGACGTCACAAACAAAAGACATTCGCGTTGCGAATCCGCAACCAACCATTGAACTCTCACTCGTAACACTCATTCTAAAAAAGCTTGCCCTGATAGTTTTCTGAACTTGTGGCTTCTTTAACCTTGAGCTGTGACCCCTAGTGGGGTACGAACACTTGACTGAATAATGTCTTCTGAGGTGTTTATATATGTATTAAATCACTCCTTGCCCACCTATTGTATAAGTTAGACAATTGCAGGCATTCTAATCTCTCTGGGTATCTGAGGTGCTGTACTGAAGGCACCAGTCTGGTGGCCTTCCTTAGGACATTTTCAATCAACTGACAGTTTCTAGCATATCTCGGGAACAAGACAGGATGGCAGTACTATACTCCAAATAGGGAAGCACCTCACTTTTGAAGAGTGCTACGAGGGACCCACCAGCTCGGTATATGAATGCCCATCGTATAAGACCTACTGGTTTGATTGCTTAATTTTCCTTCTTCTCACAATGGTCTGGACCTTCAGTTCATTGTCAACATATACACTCAGATCCTTTTCACATTTGGTCTCAGTTAATGGTGTTTTGTCATCCCATTGGGACATGTGATACACCTTGATATTTTTAATATGACCTCAGTGCATTTTTTCATTTTGTGATGTTAAATCTTAAGTCATTCCTTTGACCACTGCTGAAGCCGACATCATTTGCAAAATTTTTTTTTGAAAGACTGCCTATATAGAGTCTAGCATATTTATAAAACAGACAAACAACAACAGTCCAATACATTTCCCTGTGGTACCCTGCTTGGCACAGGTATCCGTGACAATTTTCTGCCGCTAATCAGCACACACTGTTTGTTGTCATGAAGAAAGTCTCGAATACACTCTAGGATGTTCCCCTGAATTCCATACCTCTTCCAATTTGATTTTCAGCCTTTCATGAGGTATGCTTTCAAATGTCTTGGCAAAGTCTAGTATTTTCATGTCAATATTGCCACCAAGCCCCAGAATCTGTGTCCACACATCCAGCACCTTAAGTAATTGTGTCAAGCAGGAGCATCCAGGCATAAAACCAAATTGGCATTCCTTTGCAACATTGTTTTGGAGTAAATAGTCCATTACAGCATTTAATATCCAGGTAAAACTCGACAAACGATGAGTTTAGATTCCAGAAAACCCATTGCTAAGTGAAATATCATAGATAGGGAGCATGGGGCTCCCAGCCAGTCCCCAAACACACATGTATCACCGACATAAAAATTCCTTCACTTATAAAATCAATAGAAAACACTCACCACATCATGAAGAATAATCCTGATCACCATCACATGTCCCCTTCGAGGCTAAGGGGACTCTTGTAGGTGGAGTGGAGACATTGAGACATTACTGTGGGGAGTCTCATGCTGCTTCACAGTGTCAAACTTCACCTCAGAGACATGGTTGTCTTGAATGCCTTGGCCTTCCAAGATATTTTCAAAGTTACACTGCTTACTTCACAGTCACAAAGACAGAGCAAAGCCCTTGTTACAAAAACAAAGTGAATAATGATAACAGCCAACACTGCTCATATCATTTTCACAACAGAGGCGAAGCACTTTACAGTCACAAAAAAACAAACAAAAAATATCACTTCACAGTCACCATAACACAGTTCAGTCTAAATGGTACTGTAGTGCTGTTCTCTTACTAAAAGAAAAAAACACTGATAAGTACATGGTGCAGTCCTCTTCACTAGTGCGTTTACAGGGGCTCACCAGGTTTTGTGCAGTGTGCCCGCGCTGTCTTTGTTTACATTCGACAGAAGGAAACTCGCAATAGTAAACTTACTATGGAATCATATTAAAACAAATATCTCAAAGATAATGATTTGTGGATTGTTTATATGATGAACGCCTGTAAACTCACTAGTGAAAGGGACTGTACAGTCAGCCAATGATGCACCGACCCCACCCTGGGTCTCATGCTCGCAATTTTACCTGGCAATACTTGGTAAATGTTGTTGAATAAATGAACAAGTTTCTAAATTTTTGTATATTTGTTTAAATAATGAAGAAAATTTGATGTGAGAATCTTGTGGCAGCTGTGGTTGTAGTTGAGTTGCCAATTCATTAATATAATTATCTTCAGTATTTAAGCTATACTGTATAAAAAAATTTAGAAACTTCTCATGACCTGAAATAACAATGAATAGTTTATTATTATAAAAATGTTACCTTTTGGTTGTTTGATATTTATCCTAACAGTGATACAGCCAAAAACAGATCCACCGATCACAATCACCTTTACATACTGTACAGCCTTCCTTTACCAAGTATTGCCAGGTAGAATTGCGAGCATGAGACCCAGGGTGGGGTCAGTGCATCATTGGCTGACTGTACATAGAGCAACGAAGCTGAATGATAATTGTGGAGCTATGTGATGGTTGGGAGGTGCGATTAGCAAAGTACCAGGTGCAAGACTGTAGTGTGCGTGTTGGCGGCTTGCAGATAGATATTACTGTGGCTGACAAGTGTAGTCAGAGATGTGTTACCTATGGAGAGTGCAGAGGCTTAAACATTGTTTCCTTATAAAAGTCACTAATTTAACACAAAAATATACTCTGTATTGATGGAATCCTTGCAAGACGATGATTAATTTGAGTACATATATACAATCCATAGTTTGCACTAGAGATTAAAAAAAAATCCAATCAATGGATATCGTTAAAGCTAATGTTTTTGTTCATATATAGCGAGATGGTCTTAATTCATGACCACCGTTAAAGTGGAATATCATTGAATAAGACATCATTTATTGAGGCTTTCCTGTACTGTAGTGCTCTCCAGAAGCCTTTTTTTATTTGCTGGGCTTGACTTCAGCTTCGAAGCCACGGGCCTGGCTTCAGATTTTCTTCTTTACTTTGACACACTGACCATATTGTGACTTCACAGTTGAGTTGATCCCTGACTTCTGTTCACACAATGACCTGATCTACTCGGAAAATAGAGGTGCATACTACAGTTTTAGTGATTATTATGATATATGTACAATATTTGTTGAATATGATCTAAATACAGTAAGTAATGGCTTAACGTTGGGGATGCGTTCATAAAAATGCAACGTAATAAGAAACAACGTTGAGCGGATCCATTTTCCCCCGTAAGAAATAGATAAAATACGGGAGGTACGTTCCTGAGCCACCCTTTGCCCCATGAAATACATTACTGTACATATACAGAAAATCATTGCCATTTCAATGGAAAATAATACATGCATATACAACTACTAAGTTTGTATTGGTACTCACCGATGGGTGGAGGTGGTAGAGTGAGTGTGTGATGAGTAGTGAAGCAGGGGAGGCGGATGACTAGAGGGGAGGAGTATGGCGGGAGCAGAGGAGGAGGGCGGGAGAGGAGTAGGGTGGTGAGTCACAGAGACTGCGCCGAGCCGAGAGAGTGTAGCGCGGTCAGACGAGAAAGGGTGATGCGCCGGAGAAAGTAGTTCGTGACGACTCAAAACGACGTAGTATCGGATCACCGGGACGTTAAATGAATTTTGGGTCTCTAAAGTTTAGCGACTTAGTACTGAAACAACGTTAAGCTCGGACTTACTGTACAATTATAAAAGGTGAAACAACACTAAGAAATATCAACAGCATTTGAAGAACCAGTGTCGTGACTTTGTGAATGAGAAGAGCTTTCAAAGGGCGTAGGTCACAGCATTAGGTGGAAGTAGAATGAGCTATAATATTCTGTATATGAACCTAAACACTTTTCTTTTTTTTCACCATTATTCCGCCAAGTGATTCTCACCTACTTTTGCCAGTACCTGTATGTGTTAACATGTCAGGCAGAACCACCTATCAGGAGCAAAAAGTAACACACCTTCTAGTTGTTAGGGCTCTCATTGCCAGAGGTCACTAGTGTAGTTTTCATGCAGCTGTCCATGACTTTGGTCTTGGAGTGTACTTGCAGTTGTCATTTTAAAGAGAACCAGTACTATGTACAGGTTGTACCTGTACAATAATGAAGTTTTTTCTTTACAGTGTTGTTATTGTACCTGACCACTGAAACTGAAGGTAGAGGACGTGGTGGAGGAGGAGGAGGACGTGGTGGAGGAGGAGGACGAGGAAGCTCGCGAGGAAGCTCGCGAGGAAGCTCGAGAGGAAGCTCTGTAGGAAGCTCAAGGGGATGGGGAGGTGGCAGCTCCTTGGCTAAGTTTGGCTCCCCAAATCGGTGGTCATATGTCGGAGGACGTAGATTCTACTATGTAGGATATTATCATGGATATGGTTACCACCGTTACGGCACCTCAGGACATTATAACCCCAATGAGACTGGTAAGTAAAGTTTTCAGTGTCATTTGAGTTTTGGGGAAAATTTGGGGTCTTTATGTGAGAAAAATATATATTGTAATATGTACCTTAGACTCTCACTAGTTGTTGTTATTTTAGATTAGTTTGTTGCATTCAGGGGATGAATTATTGAAGGAAATTTATATTGTTGTTACCGGTATGTTTAAACTTGTCATCATTTGTTTAGTTATAATGCTTACAAAATATCTAGGTTGATCATTACAAATAGAGCTCTAAGGGAATTTTTCCACTTATTATTTTCAAAGGTGTTGTAATGAAAAAGCCAACTGAACAATTTTTTAACCTAAAATGTTGAACTGTACTACACTTAAACCTCTAAGCAGTGAACACTATGGTGGTCTTAGAAGTTAGCATTATTGTACTAAAAAATTCAGATTAGGTCAAATTAACTGTAATAACAGGAAAAAATCAGTAGAATTATTGAGAAAAAAAATTATAATTTCATGTCTCTACGTATGCCACGTAAAACAATGGTGATGATGAGCTCAAAACGTCCTGCTTCAGATATCTTCAGTCTTCAGCAAGTTGGAGTAGTGGTGAATATACCTGTACAGTGGTCCCTCGGGTAACGAGCACAATTTGTTCTAGAAGGTTGCTCGTTAACCAAAAAATTCGTTAACCGAAACCATTGTTTCAATGGGTTTTTGGGTAATTGGTTCCAGCTCACCGAAAATTGCCTAAAGTCAACAAAAAAGGTAGTAAAGTACACTTACTTTGAGGTGTGTATGTAGAAGGCTCCTGGATGATGATGATGATGATGATGGGAATTAGAATGGGGGTGGAGGAAAGGGAGAAGAGAAGGCATTGGGGTGGAAGAGAAGTCACCCCATGGCTCCATTTCACCCATAAAATTTTTGTTCACTTGGTGTAATTCAAGATTATTTTCTTTAAATCAACACTGCACTGCATTATATATTGTCAATATGTAAAATAAAATTCAAAATGGCCAATAATTTGACGGGAAACACAGAAAAAAAGCGTTTATGTTGAAGAGAGTCTGAAACAAGATGTTACCTCCACTGAAAAGACACAGAGACTGACGCCTGTATGGTGTGTTGACAGGCTGTTTGGCGCGCTAAAAACTATTTTCCCTGTACTGTACTTAAATTATGTTAAATAATTGTTAAAATGACTAAAAATTTTAATATAAGACTTTTAAAATTATTGAATAGTGCAAACTTCTTGATATTTACTAAAATAGAACCGATTACTGTACTGTATTGGCGGACTAATACTACAGCTGGTGGGCAGCCAAATGCAGGCGAAAACATGTTGGGAAAAATTCGTGGGGAATTCGTTAATCGAGGGAATGTTCGTTAACCGAAGTTAAGAATTTTATGGAAGGTAATTCGTTAACCGAAATTTCATTAACCGAGGCGCTCGTTAACCGAGGGATCACTGTATTTAATAGTGATACTTATCATGTCTCTCCCAGTTATATTTTTATTTCTTTGAAAAAAAAATCATGTACTGAATTTTCTCTTTTTATTGATGTTACCAGTTTTTTACAACTAGAGGAGTAGGGTAAGGAGGTATGGGAGGAGGAAGTGGTGGTAGTAGTCTTGAGTACTGACTAGCCCGGGCCCCGATGTCGGTCAGTGACTTGTGCCAGGGTGGGCTAATCCCCGTAAAAAGAAAATAAAGTACAGTACTCTACTGTATTATTGTACAGTATGAACACTTGAGAGTTGTATTTTATTTTATAACCTACATCTTGATTAGAGTAAATGGCTTGAGAGTGAATGCGGCAAAATTAAAAGTATTGATTAGTCTTCCCTTTTTGGGTTACTGTACTAGATACCATGTACTCCTAGTATCTCCAATGTGTTATATTAATACAATTCATGATAAATATCACACTGAATAAACATAAACCATCCACACCACAAAAAAATGGTCTAGTTGGTTCAGAGATGGTACAGTAATCTGAATATAGGAAGAGCAGGGCTGGAGATTGTGAACACCTTGAGCCATAGAAAGCTTGATGACTGCTGTGTGCAAGAAAAGACATAAAAAGATGGGTTAGTAATGATGTTCAGTGATAAGAATAATAGGAACAAGATATTTTGGAAGGTGAGTAAATCCAGAAAAAGTGGTGTAGGAATCTTGATCGCTGAATAGTGGGTGGACAAAGTGCTAGATGTGAAAAGGCTGGCCACTTGGAGAAGAAGCTAAGAAAACAGATAATACAGTACTGTAAGCTCAATACTCACTCCAACACTAGAGAAGGAAATAATCTGACTTAGTCTGTGGGATATCAGAGTGTCTCAGAATTAAACTAGTGCAATACAGTATCAGAGCAATTTGACCTTCCCAGCTTCTCCTATTGTTATGGAGGTTAAAGGACATACCAGCTCTGTCCTTCTGATGTGATGCTTAGTGTAGGAGGACATTCCAGGTAAATCCCTTTGACTCAAGTGGTTAAGAAAAGGGTGAGTAGGTTGATTTGTATAAGTCAGGTGGATCAAAAACATAGATTGATTACCTTCTATGTAGGAAATCAGATAAGAAGCTTGTTAGGGATGTAAATGTTATAGTGGTAGAAGAATGTGCCTTGCAACACAGATTGCTTGTGTATGACTTGTATGGTGTGTGTTCCAAGAAGGAGAGTGTGGAAGTTGAAGGAAGAGAGTGTAAGAGAAACATATTATGCCAATTTAACCCTGAGGCTTCGGGTTGCATGACGTTCATCTCTAGAGCTTCGGGTCACATCTTATGACATGCATCTATAGGACTTTCGGTCATGTCATATGACATGCATCTCTAGAACTTTGTGTCACATCATATGATGTACGTCTATCGAGCTTTGGGTCACGTCATATGACGTTTTGATCTTTTACAGGCCAATTTGAATAAAAAGGGCAGGCCTGGCTAGATTATGTTGTCAAGAAGGTATTTATCTTTCACTCACACACAAGAGCCTCTGAGTCTCTTCTCATTAGCTTTTCAGCTTTTGTGATGTAGGAATCTGGTCCATGGACTTGACTCACTTCACCATGTCAGGGGAAGATCCGGGGGGGGGGGGTGTTCCTGGTGGTCCAGACCCCCGCCTTGTTATCTGAAAATTTCGGACCCCTTTAATCCGGATAAATCGGACGAAATCTGAACTGTCCATATAAAATTTCTGGTTCTGGGATTATCCCAGTTGCAATTGGGGTTGCAATTTCAAATTCTGTGTCACTACCAAGAAATAACAAAGTCCCTGGTGCACTCTAAGATTAAGAGAAAACGGATGACTCAGGCGTCCTAAAGTGAGAGAAAACGGACTCCTATGACGGGGCACTTAAATAAAGAGACATGGCTACATGTTTTGTGGACTAGCCACTGTACAGTATCCTTTTCATCACTTTGTAATAAACCTCGTTATGCCTATGTGTTTCTGATAATTATCATAACATTATATATTTATATATTTAGCGGTTGTACAAACACAAGGCCTCACACATTAGGGTGTGTCATACGGAGGCGAATTTTTTTTTTTGAGTTTGAAAAATCGGCCCATGGTATTAATGATGTAGTTCTATGTGCAGAATCATGTGATATCTTCAGATTTGAAAAGTTTTTCATTTTTGCTAGGTAAATTTTAACTTGAAATCTTATGAAAATTTATATTCCCACCTTTTTACCAACACCACTAAATAGCTTATTTAAAGTAAATAAATGTATCAGGTTAATTTATTAGGATGAAAATGATCCAGAATAGTGAAACGAGTGATCTTGACACATTTATTAAATTTAATATTCCTTTAGAAAACAAAATCATCAAATACAAAAACCGGTTTTACTACTACGACCCGGTGTTGCTGCACACCATAGAGAACATGTCTTTCTTGCTTCTGTTTCTACTCATCACCTCCCTGCTGACCACCTGAGCTCGAATGTAGCCTTCCCTCCTCTCCTGGCTGTACACGTGACTGCTGGCCTCGCTCACTTACTGTACACAACGCTCTATACTCTGGGTGTGCGAGGGCCAGGCAGGGACATGCATGGGGTTGTCCAGGAAAGCTCTGACTTGAACATTGGTGAGACTGCAGGTAAGAGGGGGCTCACTGCCAGCCTGGATGTTATCCAGATCTGGATCAGTGAGGTCTTGGCACCTAGATTGACTTCAAGTCTTCCTGACCCTGAAGGAATCGTCACCAACTGATTGACATGCCCAGATCCTCTCATAAGTCTCATATCCAAGATCTTTTGACTGCCACTCTTCTCTCCTCCTCATCCTTACTGCAGGCATTGTCTGCAGAACTGCCTCAGGATAGGCATACCAGGAAGATCTCCTCACAGTCTGCTCCACAATCTGAACAACCTTCCTTGGCTGACTCTCAGGGCTCAAGCTGGAGAACATGCCTCGGACCTTGGGAGAATGACTTGACCTTGTGTTGAACCAATTTGGCAAGTGACACTCCCGATGAATTGGACAATAAGTCTCAGGTTGTAGGCTGGTTCCCTTTCAGTTTATGATGGCGACCCAAATTCTGCAGAACCTGAGAGCCGTTGGCAGAGCCACCTAGAATGTGAGACTGGACCTATCTGCAGGTAAAGTCTATCAGGCATGACCCCAGTTTGATGCTGCAAATCATGTAACCATAGTACTGGTCAGTACTCAGGTCGTCAATGACAGTATGTGCAAGCTCAGAGGGCCAACTGTGATTTTTCCAAAGCTCGGATTTATTCTAACTCAGTGGCAGAGTCCAGCATCTTGCCAAGGGACCAGACCATCTGTTGTTTGAAAGGAGTCTTGCCATCCAGCTCCTGGATCAGATGTCTGAGTGGCAACTCGTTGGTGTGGAGGTCACAAACAATCCAGACCAGCTTCCTCCCAATCTTCCGCTCTATCCACTGTATGACCCCCCCTTGCCACCCTGTGTTCGTGTTGGTGCTGTCCTCTCCAATGGCCTGCAGGGTCTGGTCTACGTTCCTCTCTCTGAGCCAGTTCACAATGTCATCTGCCACTATCTCAGCTG